ACGACAGTAAACCTCCGGACTGGCTATGGGTCATGCACTACCACACACAGTCAAGCAGCAAACCCGTGAAGGCATAAGTGGGACAAAGCAAACAATGCAAAAAGAAAAGCTAAATTAACAGAATTCACGTTTCTTCAACAACCTAGCCGTCCCCGGCAACGGCCGCAAAAACTTAACTCATTCCTTCTGTCACTCTAGAAAATGGCCAAGTGTAACCACTTCCTAAAGCGTAGTATAGCAGGTTTGGGTTTTAATGTCAACCCGGGTCCTAGATGTGATGACTACTCAGCGAATTCTTATTTTCTAGCGGTGAAACTTTAATGCAGGTTCAATTAAGCAAACAAGAAAAGCAATTAAACGGTTGTTTCAAGTTGAGAGAGGTCACCCGGATATGGTTCTCCCTAGACTGCAGTCAAGCCGGATTGCAATTTACCAAGTTCAGTTTTAATGATAGTTATACTGCGGGAGGTTCTTAAGAAGTCTGAAGTCTCGACTTAAGGTCTCCCGACCCTCTCATTCTAAGTCCCCAGCGGGCGACTAACCTCCACCGGAGTAAACAGATTGACGCCCTAATGAACCAAACCTCCAATACCGAAGTAAATTCGGTACAGAATAGTGAATTGGCTCCTCGACTAAAGTCGCCAATTCACTACCTTCAATTAAGGGTGCTCTATCAACCTAGGCAGATATTCTCTCTTTAGGCTAAAGCAGAAATAACAGGAATTTGATCAGGATTCAAGTCATTCAATCATTCAAGCCTCAATTAAATATAATCAAATCATAGAATATGTACTTGGGTTCATACAATCAGACCTAACATACAAATCTAGGGTTCTCCATACCCAGATGAATGGGAAAACTACTCCATGGAGAGAGAAGCAAAAGCAGATTCAGATGCGGAAGCCACACTGTGAAGGATGGGTTTCTGCTCCTGGTCGTCAATCGGCACTTCTCCAAGCTCAAACCGGGCTCCAATGATGATGAAGATCAAGCTAGAGCACTTGGGAACTCTGGTTCATCGCTTTCTCTCTCTAGGAATCGCTCGGTCTCTCTAAAACTCAGAACTCCCTTCTCCTTTGCTGAAAATTGGCCTAAAACCAGAAAATCCCGACTCACACGGCCAGGCCACACGGCCGTGTGACATCCCCAGCTGCCCGTGTGAGTTGTGCAAACCGCAGCGTTTTGATAAGTGGCTTTAGGCTTCCTACACGGCCACGACCCACACGGCCGTGTGGCTTCCCAGGGTGCCCGTGTGAGTTCCCTGAAATTTCCACACGGCCATCAGGGGTCCCCTACATGGCCGTGTGGCTTTTAGGCATGCCGGTGTGGCTTCTCAGCTTCTCGCCAAACGTCCAAACTTCGTCCAATCGACCCCGAACTCGTTCCTAAACCTTCATTCACGTACTAGGACCTGAAATATGACAAAAAAGAACAACCTAGCATGAAATCGGCCTAAAACGCGAGAATCGACATCTCAAACGGCTCAAGAATAGGGGTAAAAACATGTCTATCTACCAACTACTTTTCATTTCTCACATGAGCACCCTGTTCGATACACGAGTCCATAACACAATCCAAATAGAGTCACCATTACCACATGAATTCAACGGTCTTAGCTCTACTAATTCACAGAGTCAACTGGCACAACATAGAGCTAGATAGGAAAAATCTTATACTTCAACATCCTCCATAGTGCTACACTACCTCCCTAGGTTGCACATTACTACATAGACTTTCAATTCAAAGCATACTGAGCAGGCAATTTGCAAGGAAACACGTACTTGGAGCCCTCATATCGAAATTTTGACAGTGGACTAGGCTCCAAGCACTCAAACACCAAACATTCACACGCATACATAATCGATCATCCCCCCACACTTAAGCACGGCATTGTCCTCAATGGAGGAAAGATAAGGAGGGTATAATGAAGTTACCAGATCAAGGGTGAATGATGGTGGACGGGGCAGGGGGTGTATTCAAGGAGGAGAGAGTAGTCGGAACACAAACACCACAAAATCTCACAAAGGTTGAGTTATTGACTCTAAAATTAAAGAACAAAACTGACTCAACCAAGGTGAAATAGAGAAAGAAATGCAAACCGACTGCTTGGGTTGCCTCCCAACAAGCGCTTCTTTCACGTCGTGAGCCGGACGATGGCTCCTAAGTTTCGGTCCACCCCAGAACCTCTTTGAAGTTGAGGTTCTCGTCGATGAGGTGGAGTCTCAAGTCACGAACATGTGGTATGACAGGTGTTGGAAGCTCGTGAACTTGATGCAGATAACGTCTCCACCCTCGAGACCTCTTCTTCTCTTCTCTAGTCTCATTGCCCCAAACCAGATATGACATCGATTGACCACCATCGCGTCCACCAAGAGGGACCGATGTCGATGTGGCCGTGGTCTGGCAAAGAGACACTGCAAATGAGTCCTTGCTAAGCAGTTCCTCGAACTTTGGTGGAGATATCACATGTAACTCAAGGCCGGTGCAAGCTTCTTCCACCTCAACTTCGTCCCCGGCCTGGAGGCCAATTGCTTCTGCAACCTCCCTTCCTTCTTCATGTGGTATCACCCCTGGGAAATGATCAAGAACTCCTTCTACTTCACTTTTGTCATCCTCCACTACTTCTTTCTGCACCCTTTCTCGCTCTTCTTCTTCTAGCACGGATTGGAGAGCAAGTTGCCAAGCAATTTCCTTCATGAGATCTTCTTGCATCTCCTCACTCATGTCCGCCTCTTCAAAGCTCAGTTCGGGATGTGGGAAGGTGTGGTCGGCTACGACAGGACATTCCTGATCATGATCATCACGGGAGCTCTCCGTGACAACTTCAGTGTGCTCCACAATGTCCTTGTAGCCTTCGTCTTCCTCCTCCTCTTCTGGTATGGTAGCAGAAGGGTGATTTGGAGCAGGTTGTGCATAAGATCGCTCAAGATCATCGACACTCTTCTTAATGCTCAGGAGGATCTCCTCTGTTTCACGATAGGCTTGGGTACAAAGATCCATCCTGGACAATGATCTCTCACTATCTCGAGCAAAATGCTCCATGAGAAGCCTCAATTCATAGTATCTGGCTGTGGAGTGTAGCATGGCTCTGTAGAATGGCCCGTAAAGTCCGCCATGGGTAACTCCAGCTCCGATGGCCCTTCTGGTTGTGGGAGAAAGTCTTCTTGGTAAAGAGGTTGTTCTTGATATGCCCAGGGTCTGATTGTTCTCCGTAGTAAGGGGGTTGGTACTAGAACCCGAATCCATAGTCTTCTCCTCCTTGATTGCTCCAGGAAGTCTCGGGGTAATACCACTCGGATGGTGGTGGATACCCCCAATGGTTGGAGAAGCCATGAGGATCCATGATTCATATATGCACCAACAAAAACAAAAACACCCAAGTGAAAATCAAGGGTGGAAAAGAAAAACGCTAAAGTAACAAACTTCTGCCTTTCCTAATAATCTAGAAAGTCCCCGGCAATGGCGCCAAAAATTTGACTCGCTATGACACAACTCCTAACAATGGCCAAGTGTAACCAATGGAAGGGACTGCAGTATAGTGGCTCAAATAATAAATATCGAATCCACGGGTCTCTAGAGTTACTATTACAATGGCCAAGAACAACCGATCAAGGCATTCTGAACTAGACTCCCTCTATCGAAAGAGGTTCTCAATCGATACAAAGCAGTGAATCAACCCTCGACTAAAGCAATCGATCCACTACTATCAATCAATGGTGCTCTATTGACCTAATCAGGTATTCGCTCTCATAGGATCAAAGCAGAATCAATAATCTTGACTAAAGCAGAATTGAATCATGAAAACATGCATAGATTGAATATGAACTCAAGATTATCAAGTAAGAGTACTCATACAATCATCCAATCAAACAAACATAGCTAGGGTTCCTCAAAACCTAAGTGAAGGGAAGTTACTCCATAGAGAAGAGAGAGACTGCAGTAAGAATCTTCAGATGATCAGTCTTCAAGTCCGGGCTTGTTCCTCGAGCTTCCAAGGCTAAGAAATCCTCCAATTCCACTCTTAGAATGCCCTCAAATCGCCCTCTCTCTGGTTCGTCCCTTGGGTGTTTGGGATCCAAAACCCAGCTCCCTCCTTCCTTTGGCTTCAATCTGCCTCAAAAACCCTATTCTGGGCAAAACACGGCCGAGGACACGACCGTGTTTTGCTTTTGCCCGTCTGTGCCCTTGCCATGTGTTAAAAAGACGGCCGCGTCGGCCAGAACACGGTCACGCCTAAATATGGACACGACCGTGTTTTCGTGTTTTGCTTTTCCATCAGTTCAGCTCTCGCACATAAAAACACTGCGTGTCTGTTTGTGTACACAGCCGTGTTCTTCAGGCCTCCTGCCCGTGTTTAGCCCCCAGCTCGACCGAATGACCTCCAAACGCCCCGAATCTCGTGCTTAGCCTTTCCTTCGACGTCTGGGACCTGAAATATGACAAAGTAGCACAACCCAGCGTAAAACGGGCCAAAAATACACGACTACTAGCCGCAAACGGATAAGAACTAAGGGTGCAAACATGTGTAATTATTGGTCTATCAAAGTTAGTGTTGATGCAAGAGATCGAAGTAAGTGTTTGTATTTTGCAAGTTTATCGGAGTATTATTTCTGTAGAATGCTTTCTAACGATTACTGTAATAATTTGGCTTGTAAGTTAGTGTTGATGCAAGAGACTTGAATTGCACCTTAACATTCATAACAAACATCCATATCTATAACCATTACCATCTGTCTTTACAAACCATCTCCTACCATCCTTAACCAGAACTTAACCTCCTTAACATTTATTACCTGATTACATAAATATGAACATACATCTTCTACCATCCTTAACCATTACATAAGTCTTTACATTGATTTTCCTAACATTCATCTACTAACATTGCTCCGAAGGTGGATCAAACCATGAGTCACATAGCAAAAAAATATCCACCAAAGCCATCCATAACAAGCATAGTAAGCAAAAAAAAAAAAGGTGACTCATGGTTTCTTTGACATCTAAGGTTGCATCGTCGGAGGTGGATGGCTTCCTTGGATGTCCATCTTAGTGGGTTGCGTACCACACACAGGATGCCCATGTGCTCCAGCTAGCTGAAATAGAAACAGCAACAGAAAGTAGGAGAAGATTCAGAAACAGACACACAAAGTAGCAAACAACTCAGTCCAAACATTCAATCTAAATATTACTACTTACCCTCACGTACTGATTCCCAGTTGCCTCACTAACATACAATCCTACCCTTGTTGTTGCAACTCGCATCTCACGCTCAATCGTCCTCCGGTCACCAACATTCAATATAACATCCTACACAATATATATGGACATGTTCTCAAGTTTCATCCACTTACGATCTAGCATACTAGACTTTAAATTCGTACTAAATTCTCATGATTCTTACTTGTATACCGGCACCTTGGTTGAGGGGGCAAGTCCTCGCATTATGTGTCTGGGAACCACATTTAGAACAATGTAGAACTCTCTTCTTCCTTGTATTAGGGATTGCAGTGTTGTTTACAGCCTCAATAGTGGGGGCACTATTAGAGCATTTCGTTCAACTGCTTGAGCATAAACCTACATAATGGAATGGTTTCGTTAGTAAAAAAACTAAAAAATGAGTATTTTATTAACAACTTAATCATACCAACCTGAATCTCAGCAGCAGTAGCTTTGCAGCCCCTTGAATTATGCCCCTCGCCACCACATTTCTTGCAATGTATGACACTACCCCTTCTAGTTACCTACTCACCAACCCCATTCCTTTGTGGTCGCTTTTCCACCTTGTGAGCCCCTTAGTCTCTTCTTCTTAGGCCTCCTCAGCATGACTCTTTGCTTGGGAGGGTGTATTGGAAGACCAGTAACCTCTGGCCAAGCGTATATGCCGTCTAAACAAGGGATGTCCACCCTGTATGCTCCAACAACATGGTGAGCATGGTAGCAAGGATGCACATAATCATCCACTTCCTTCATCAAGTGAGAAATTGTAGAGACAGCATGGCAGCAAGGCAGGCCACTCAATTGCCTGTAACCATAGGTACAACTCTTGTCATTTAGGTCAACAATGCAGCCTAAATCACCCATCTTCACCTCACATTTGGCATCTAAGGTCTGCCTAGCAACACACAACCTAGCCACTTCCTTCTCTTTCTCTACCCTCTTCCTAATTCTAGGACACAACATGTTAGGTGTGTCAATTAATATGTTGTACTTAATGACAATACGGTCCATCATGTACAACCTAATACCCTCTAGCATGCATGTTGATTATTCTCATACCCCTATACTTCACAATTGTCCCATTAAAAGTCTCACAGATATTGCTCTCCACACTATCATATTTAGACACAGTCTACATGAACGAGCGACATAATGTTCTAGGTTCGGCAACCATGAAATCATTGAAAGGGGTGGATCCAAATTCAATACCTTGAATTGCCTCCATTTCATTGACGACCTTCTTCCAATCGACCTCGTTGCAAGCATAAACTGCTTTCCAGAACAGTTTACGAACCCGATCAGTTTTGTTCTTAGCCTTCCAGTTCGCATAAACATGGCGTGCACACTTGCGATGCTCGGCTTCGGGCAACAAATCATGTGTAGCATCAATTAAATCCTACAATCACAAAGTCAACAGTCAAAATTCATCAATAGTGCCTTACTCTAACTGAAGCACTCGTCAAAAGCAGCAAGTTAAAAGTGCCCTATTCGAGTATCAAATAGTCAACGTAAGCAGCACAAGGAATAGCAGCAAGTTAAAGGTAATATGCAACAAAGAAAGTTAAAGGTAATATGCAACAAATTAACAAGTTAAAGGTAAGATTTCAAAAGCAGCAAGTTAAAAGTAGACTACAAGCAGAAAGTTAAAAGAGTCAGAAAGCAGCAAGGTAAAAGTAGCAAAAGCATAATTTCTGGAATTAAAACTCAGACCTTTTGTTGGTCCGAGATGATTGTCCAGCCCCTACCATCTGTTAATTCCAATTCTTTAGAGAGGAGGTTAACAAACCATCTCTAGGAGTTGTCATTCTCTCCTTCCACTACTGCCCAGGCAATTGGGTACATTTGGTTATTGCCATCCTTCCCAACCGCTGTAGGTAGCATGCCCTTCACCTCCCCCTTCAAGAAGCAACCATCAAGTCCGATCATTGGGCCATTCTCTTCCATTGAACTCGCCATCTGTATAGAAAGAAACAAAATCGCATTTGTCACTAAACAAAACTTTATTATTATTCCAATCGAACTTAATTACTATTCTAATCACAATTGTACTATCTAAACCTATGTTAGTGAGTTTTTTAATCACTAAACAACAAAGGCAGCTTCGACCAACAAACATTATTCTATCCTAGGGTATTCCAAAGCAAATAATGATTCCTACTAAACTTGAACTAGTATCACTCCTTTCACCATCTATAGATGAAATGTCGATGTCCTCAATGTTTGAAATGAAATCCTCAATATACTTCTCATCTTCCTCAGTCAATCTCTTGGACATCCTGGTTCTGTCGTTGCTCCTCTGGAAAGAAATTTGACAGCAAACGTCTTGGTAACATATTATGTATAAGATTACACACACACAAATAATAAACAAGCACATGGAACTTTCGCATGTCATCAATAAGTATGAAGTACTCATCATATCTTCCTAGTTCGTAAAGGCCTTTCTGCAACATTGTCCTTCGGGTCGGTGAGTAATTCCTTCACAATTTTAGAGAGTTCCCTTACATTTTAGTACCACTATTTTAATATCTTAAATTTGATACATGAACTTTAAAAATTTACAAATAGGTCCAAGTTTATGGGGTTTTTGGTATGTTTTATGAAACTTGTGGTCTGCTTTAATAAACATGTGGTATGCTTAATGAGATTTTTGGTATGCTTCATGGAACTTATTTGTTCTCTTTACTAGTATTTCGCATGAATGCTCCATCACAAACCTTTAAACCGATTGGCTAGATAACAACAACGTGGGAAGTAGACTAAGGTACCAAGACCCGAGTGAATACGAACTTGATTGCCACTATATGACAACACCACTCTAGGTTAAACTTGGCCTAGGATGGGGTAGTTATTGAGATGTGCTAACTATTGATAATGACTTACATGGATTGAATCGATCAAGCTTTTTGGCACCGTTGCCAGGGAACATTGGAAACTAGTAGAAAACCATCGAGTTGTTATTTATCCTTTATTTTCTTTGTTTGTTTTTGTGTTATTTCCGTAGTTTTTATCGTTTTGTGTTTTGTTATCCAACTTTTTGCGTAACAGGTTGTAGAGTTTCTTGTGTGAATACACTTTCCCTCATGGACCGAAATGAGTTGGAACGTATTGCGAAGGAGACATCCACTTGAAGCGCCCCAACCAGTTTCCTTCGTAGAAATAGGGACGTCATCATCTAGAATCCAAGGATCCTAGATAGCCACTCTTATTGAGCAGAATGCCAATCTAATTGAGCAGAATTCTAGACTTATTGAGGATCAATGGGATATTCGGGCCCTTCTAAGGCGTGAGAGGAAGTCTAGACGCCACCTCTTGGGGGTGGTCCACATGATAAGGAGAAAAATGCATATGGACCAAGACGAGATGGAGCAAATGTTCCCTCTCTCACCCTCATCGGATGGCGACCAACTTGTATCAGAAGAAGAAGGACCCTTCGAGATGGATTGAGTACAAGCATCCACGGCCTAAGTTCTATCTTTTCTTTTTCTTTGTTTTGATTTTAAACAATGTTTAATTATTGCTTTACTTTCATTTATTTTCTATACTTTAAATATTATAGTACTAGTAGTAATCATACGTATATTATCTATTTATCTCACCTATAACTCTTAATCGTCTTCCTCTTTTTCGTATGCGCTTTATCATTGTGAAAACCATCAGAAAGACAAAGACCTACACTTGTGTATCTTCACCAACCCACAACCCAACCTATGGTAACCTTCATGATCTTCTATTTTGAAACTCCCACGTTGATGACAATGTATTGCTCAAGTAGGGGGGATCTGTGTGAATGTTTGAATGATTGTCATGATTAATTGACCCTTGGATTAATAGTATCCTCCCTTGTTTATGAATGTAAGACTTTGTTGAATTATTATGGTAGTGTATGCTAGCGACTGTGTGTGTTTATGGTGTTGGTTGGCCAAATGATAGTGTTTTTGACACGCCTCTACCGTCACACTAGAAAGTGGTCAAGTGTAACCACCTACTAATGCGTAGTATAGCGGGTTTAGTTCTAAATGTCAACCCGGGTCCTAGGTGTGATGAATACTCCGTGAAAGTCTTATTATTTAGCGGTTCAAGTGTAGTGAAGGTCTAACTAAACTAGCAAGCAAAAGCAGTGAAAGTTGTGTTCAAAGTTGAGAAAGGTCACCCAGATATGGTTCCCCCTAGACTGCAGTTAAGCCAGGTTGTATTTCACCAAGTTCAAGTTCAATGAGAGTTATACTGCGGGAGGTTCTTAAACAGTCTGCAGTCTCGACTAAAGGTATCTAGACCCTCTCAATCTGAATCCCTTGCGGGCGACTAACCTCCACCTGAGTAAACAGATTGAGGCCCTAACGAACCAAACCTCCTCTACCGGAGTAAATCCGATACATAATAGTGAATTGACTCCTCGACTAAAGTCATCAATTCACCACCTCTAATCAAGGGTGCTCTATCAACCTAGGCAGATATTCTCTTTCTAGGTCAAAGCAGAAATAACATGAATTTGATCAGGATTCATGCCATTCAGGAAATCAAACCTCAATTGAATATAATCAATATCAATGAATTCATACCTAGGCTCATATAATCAGACCTAACATACAAATATAGGGTTCTTCATACCCAGGTGAATGAGAAAGTTTACTCCATAGAGAGAGAAGGGAAATCTAGCTCAGATGCAGAAACCATGCTGTGAAGGATGAGATTCTGCTTATGGAAATCAATCGGCACTTCTCCAAGCTTAAGCCGAGCTCCAATGGTGATGAAGATCGATCTAGAGCGCTTGGATTTTCTGGTTCATCACACTCTCTCTCTAGGTATCTGCTCTCTATCTTTAAAACTCGGAACCCCTCTAAAATTGGTCTTCTTACCCTTAAAAATCAGCAGGTCGCGATCTCCGGCCATAATACCTGGTCGGGTATTTCAGGTGCCCGACCGGGGATTTTAGAACGCACAACAGTAGCTAGGGGATTAATACCCGATCGAGGTCCAGAATACCCGATCGGGTATTTTAGCTCTCCGGCCGGGACCCCTTATGCCTTTTTCCCCAGCCTCCCTTAGCATTTTACCCGGCCGGGTATTTTGCTCTTCCAGCTCCCTTCACTCTAGTGTCCTCCTTTTTGACCCGAAACTCATTTCCTCGCCTTCACGTCAACGCCAAGTCCTGAAATATGACATAAACACACAACCTAGTGTGAAATCGGCTTAAAACACGAGAATCAACTCTCAATCAGCTAAAGAATGGAGGTATAAACATGTGCAATTAATGGTCTATCAAATGCCCCCACACTTAACCGTTTGCTTGTCCCCAAGCAAACCTAACTCAAACCAATGCAGCTCTCCAGACCTCTATAGCAACAAACACCCTCGATCGTCGTTAGAGAATGTTCTAGATCATATAGCAACTTACGAGGTCAACCGACGCACAAGTCATCTCCTAACTTCCTCGACGAGAACGCTAGTCTCGAGTCGGCATCATGGCAAATAGTGATTAGAGGAAAAATGAATCATGGATGAATGGACTCTAAAAAAAAATAGATCACGGACTCGCATTTTTAAGGTGCTCTATTTTATTTTTGAAGATGGTTGGAACCCCTTTCCTTTCTTTTTTTTTCTTCTTGTTTTTCTACTTTTTTTCTTTTTCTTTTCACGGGTTCCAACCTGTTTTTTCAGAAAATGGGGGCTCCCACCTAGCAAAGGTTTTGCAGGAGCCGGCTCTTACCGGCCATGCCAGGAGTGGATGTCTCGAGCCTCGTGTGGGGGAAATAAATGTAAGGGGGATGGAGGTAGTAGGTGGAAATTGGGAACGGATTCCCGTCTCCCCTTACACACTTTCGCCCTATTCGCACGGGAGACGTTATTTTAAAGCACATTTTTAACACCTTTCTTTTCAAAACATTATATAAGAGTCCATGACAGATAGAGAGTCCACAACACCACACAATTCAAGGGTCCTAGGATCACTAATTTACACAATCAACCAACACAATATGAAGAAGAGATGAGACTTCTTAAATGCATCAACATCCTCCATAGTGCTACACTACCTC